CAGAGCAGACACCAGAGCCGACAGCTTAGCCAGCTTCCAAAAAACTTTGGACCTCCCCAAAAATATACACAAAACGAGAGAAACATTTTTTGTTTATATATAAGCAGACCTATATGTATGCAGTAAGTATGTGTACGAATGTCTATGTTTTAGCTACGTAAAAAGGAGGGAAAAAATGGAACATTGAGCTGACAGGTGAAATGAAATTGCGTGGGCTGCATTTACACATTATTCTGACGCGGCTTTTACTTCAGCCTCAGTTTCATTCCCATTCTCAAGACTACAACTTGGGAGGATCCTATTGAAAATGAAAAATAGTAGAAAGCTGGGAAAAATTCAAGAAAAAAACGATATATGTGTACGGATACTCGTCGACTCCCATTTCCCAACAATGAAACGGCAATGGAAAATGTGGTTTAAACAATACCGAGCCGGTGAGCTCTCGAAGGGGTTTAACAATGAAAGACAGGCAGGAGGAATGGAAAAGGAAAAGGTGGAGGGATGGTAAGTCTTGTTTTTAACTCCAAATTGTAATCTTGGGGAGGGCATACGTCTGTGGCAAAGAGAGAGAGTAGTCAGAGTAGAGTGGATTTCCATTCGATGAAAAGTACTTAATTGGGATTTCAGATCTGTGGAGAATGTCAGAGAATATTTTGGGGAGCTTAGAGATTCCAATATGAATTATTTTAGCAATTACTTAAATTATATTTGAGGGTAAAGTTTAACTTTGATTCTTAGTTTCAATACCAACAAGTTTTCTTCTGGGATTATTTTAAAATTTAATTTTACCTCGTTAAAGTCCCCTCTGGATTTACCTCGTGCCACATAAATCTGTACAGATTTCCTTGGATTGGTCTTGCCCATGTTGCGTCGTAACAATTACAAAGCCTGCCACTCAGTTGCTCATTGATAGCTTAAAGCTGGCAGTGCCACTGCCACATCGCGTGTCCCAACCCGTGCGCCTGTTGGCCAGCAGCTGCAGTGGCTGCTGGGAATTAGAATGGAGCAGCAGCAAATCGCCTTACCAGCTTGTGGGAAAACCCTAATAAACCAGCAAGAGAGTGCACAGTTAAGTCTTCTGCTGCTGTTTCCCCTACTGGTGATGCTGCCTCCTTCAATGGCAGTGGCACGCCTCTTCTCAGAGAAGCCACCGAAGCAGGCGTTGACTTCAACTTTGACCAGAGCGATTTAAATCAGTGCCTGGGCATATAAATTTAAGAATGCTCCGCTCTCACTTATCCAAGTCCATGACTTTGGGTTAGGCATTTGCCAGTCTCTGGCGATGAGTCAGAGTTAGCTATGGGTGGGATGGAATGGGGAATAGGGAGGAGCCACTGCTGTGCCTTTTATGCCCGCCAATTTCAGCCTGTCTCCGGCTTTGGAGCTACGGCTGCTGGTGCCTCCTCTTCTTGCTACAAATCATGATAATAAATTCCAATTTTATTTAGTCAGTGAGGCGGCAAAGCACCCTTGTCATCGTCATCGCCATCGCCATCGGGGAAACGGCAACGGGAGGCATCCAAATAAAGGCAACCGCTTCATCTGCTTGCCCCTAAAAAAGGGTCCTGTACCCCTTCTACTGGCTGCCATCCTCTCTCTATATAATATATAGTATATCTCTCTCTGTGTTTCAACTACTTGGATTAACGGTTCATTTTTATGACTTTTTATTTTATATAAAATATTGTACGTCCTACACTCGGCATTCAGCTTTCCGCTTTCTGCTGTTTGGGATTTCCTTTTCAGCACTTCGCTCAAAAAGAATTGCGGCTGAAAATTCACTCTTGAATTGACTTGGCATGTTTAACTTTTGGTCAGACATAATCATGCCTGATTATAATGAATAGTTCTGGTCTGACTCCGAACAAAAATTATAAAAGGCGAAGGCTCACCATCGGAGCCCACAGATAGAAGAGAGCAAGGAGGGGTAGGAGCCAGAGGCAGAGACAGGCAACCGACTGGCCATCAGGTCATCAGTCAGTCTGTGCAGACTGTACTGGACCGCAAAGCTTCTGGTTATTCCTTCTGCATTTCCGCCTTTAGCCTGTGTAGCTGCCCCTGACTGTGGCAGCATCAGCATCAGCATCAGCAGCCAAAACACATTAGCAGCGTGCTAAAAATGTCGCACAGCTCAGTCGCCCCAACGCACACAGCGCAAAACGAGGGTCGATCCTACACTAGATATTCTAGTTTTGGTCGGGGCGGTAAAATATTTGGATTTATGGTTGGTTTTATGGGTTTTTATGCTTTACAGGAACAATTGGAAGTATTTTCTTCTTCTGGGGTCAGGCTGTTTATTATCTGTTTTTAGACATAAAATATTCCTGGTTTTTTATATTTTCATTTAAATGCTTCAATCTCTCATATTTTCTTGAGAAGTTTGTGGGTAGACTCTCGTTTGCTGGTGACTGACCAGGCTAAGAGCTCTCTTTTTTATTCTCCGAGCTGGGTTGACAGGACATGTGGCAGTTGCCAGTTTACAGAGCCTGCCCCGTACCAAACACACGCTCTATCTCTCTCCCTCCCTCTCTCATGCTTTCCTCTTGGCTGTGGCTCTTCATTGCCTGTTGGCAATTACAACGTTGCAATGTTGATGGCATTTTTCTTCCCTTTTTTATGCATATGTATGCACAGATAGACACATATATATGCACGAGTACGAGTATGTTCAATGCCCCCGGACAAGGAGCAGCTTTCATACATACATATAACCATGTTCAGAGGAGAAGCAAGGGTTACAGAGGAGGGGCAGATAGGAGGAAAGTGGCTGGTCATTTCCGCTTTGCTTCATGAGGCCCTCCATACTAGTATAATAGACTTTCTAATGATTGAGCACTCTCCGAGCTTGATTGCAATTACCTTTGTGGTTGGGCTTACTTTTGATACGATACGTCTATGGAATTATGACATTAGGTCAGAACAGGACTGCCCTAATTGGAATATAATTCGAATAGAGTATGTTTGAGATTTTTTATACTTAGCACTGGCCATGAACTAATTGTGTGGAAGGGAAAAGTACAATAGAACGACACATACATAAATAATAGTAGAGACATTAATTGTGCGATATTTACACTCTGCATATATAAATATCATCCCACTTTCTCACCTTATAAGCTCAGCTGTGGACGTACCAAAGTACATATTACAGCATTATCGCATTTGGTTAGAAGGATAAATCCATTCCCCCCACCATAGGAATACCTCAATGTAGCATTATACGAGAAGTATCCATTCATCCGAGGGTGGATTTTCTCTTTTCGGGGGGTTGCAATTGGATAAAAACAAACAGTTTTTTATCTCAACTTGGCCATTGCTTCATTAAAAAATCGATGCCTGGGGGTTCGGTGCAAACCACCCTCTGTTTCGAGTCATCGAAGGAGTACAAAAGAGTTAATGCGATTGATTGTCAAAGGAAGTGGCAGAGAGAAAGCAGAACAGAGAGGAGTACAATACCAGTTTTGGATTCGATTGAATTCAAGTAGAGCTTCCTTGCTCCTAATGCAGACACATGCGGCGAACTGTTGTCAACGGACTCTGGTGCTAATGTCCTCTGGCATTGTTGCAGTCTTTAGTCCAGAAGCAGTACCAAGGACCAGGACCAGGACCAGGACTGTGGACTGTGTTGCAAAATGGACTGAAATTGATGATGTCACTTGATAGGGCGTGGGGGTTTTTCATTTTTCACTTCTCGCATGCACTCCTCAAACCAAAAACCCCATTCTCGAGCTGCCAGAGCCTTCGTGTTCGTGTTGTTTAACAAATTCATCCTGTTGCTTGCGCTTCAGTGCGTGCCTAGGAGCCAGAGATGGCCGGCACATGCTATTGTCTATCTGCCACTGGGGCGTCGGGCGACTCTACATGTGGAACAATGCCTGAAATGTGCATTCGACACACATACGTATGTATACTCGTATTCGAATTCGTATTTGCTTTTGTATTCGTATCTGAATATGGTCCTTTTCTCTGTTTTCGGAAACAGGCACGAACGGAGGCAGATCCATTATTGTGCATCGACCTGTTTGATTGGCTTTTCTTTTTGCAAGTTTTTAATTAGTCTGCAGAGTGTGGGGACGGCTGAAGAGGGGATAGGGCTGTGCCATGCGGCAGAGTGTTTGTCCTTTGGCGCATTAAACAAAACGAAATATTTCATAAGCACATTGCGCTCTCGCCACAATGCCCCAAATGATTTATATGCAAAGTGGTATAAGCAGACAAAAGTGTGTGCCTTCTGCTGCCCTCTCTTTTCCAGCTCCTCTCTGACCCACTCTCACCTAGGCCGACAAGCCAAACAAAACAAAACGGTGGAAATCGAGTAAACTTCACTCCGCTTCACTCCATAGCTTTGGCTACAAATTTTCCAAAAATGTATAACAATGGCTCACACACACACTACAGCACACTCTAACACATGCATAAGTGTATGCAGGGGAAGATGTGGAAAAGAGCAGAGCCCACCCCCCGTGGGCCACGTATTGGCCACGTTACGGCTGAGTAGCTCTTAGCTTAGGGTCCCGGCTCTTGGCCCAACAATGTAACCAGGAGACTGTAAAATTTATGCACTTTTGAGGATTGCAGAAAAAGGATGCGAGAATGATTGGAAATCTCTCAAGATCTTCACAGACGGAGAACAATGGGAGCCGCGGGAGATTTACTTTATTTAAGATGCTAAATTCAGTCCATCTAGCGTCGCTATTAAATCTCCTCAAATCTGTAAGTCTATCCTCATATCTATCTCTATTTTCTATCTCTGTAGATCTCTTCAGTCTCCTCCTCAAAATGTAACTAGAATCCACTCTGATTATTCCCTTTCAACCCAATTGAAGCCATTGAATCTCAAGTTCTGCTTGATGTATGCAAGACCTTTGAGTAATTCATTTTCTTTTCACTAAATCACCATTTCTTTGTGCTGTGAATCTTATGCGAAATGCTCTGCTATTCGTTGATATTGGCAGAGAAACCACCACCACCACCGCCCCACCCGTTCCTGTGGCACTCACCTTATTGGAATTTCCATTGAATTTCAATAGCTTCTTGCAGGACTTGCCGCGACTCTCGAAGTAGATTTCCTGTGGCGTCCGTCGGCGTCGCTGTCCGGATGCAGTGGCCGCCTTGCAGTGCAGTTGAGACGAGAATGGATCGCTGCTGTGGCACTCGCTGCCTGCCACCGAATGCGTTGCCTTGTGGCGATTAACACAAAAGAGGCGACTCAAGATGCCGCAACACCCGCTCGGCGGCGCCGAATAGGATGCTGTTGCTGCCTCAGTTCCTGTAGTGGCTGCTGCTGCTGCTGCTATTGTTGCTGTTGAATTGTTGTTGGAACAGCGGGCGGATATGGTCATTAGGTTGCCATTGTGGCGTGTCTGGCGATTAACATCCATTTCCATGTTAGCCGGCAACAGAACTGTTGCCTGCTTCTCAGCGTCTTCCGCTGTGGACGCCTATTTCTCCAAATTTTTCAGTTGGTTTGATATTTTCGGTTGCGGCTGTCTATCTGTCTATATAAATATTTGTCTGCGTCTTCCTCTCGAAGGATAAATGTCTCTGTTTGACTGTTGTTGTTTAACTGGTGAACCACTTGGCGCCCTTACACCTACAGGCACACACACACACACGCACTCAGGCAGAGAGAGGCACGCGCTTACGTACGCTCTCCCACACAGGCAGGACACCAACGGACACGGAAATGAAAGCCAACCAACGCGTCGTGCTTGGCCGAGGACAGCAGGCCAACTGATAGCAGACGCTGGCCGCAGCCAGCTTTGCTACGCAGCGTTGCCAGATGGCCACAATAATGAAAGAGAGGGAGGGAGAGAGCGAGAAAGAGAGAGACGCTGACTAAGAGAGAGACTGCGCAGGACATCTCGCTCTCCCTCTCTCTCTCTCTTGTGGAACATGAATCACCTTGTGTGTGAATGAATGAAGCAAAGTTATTACCGCCTCTCATTCTTTTTGAAGGCTGTGTTGTTGCTGTTGTTGCTTCTATAGTTTTTTTCTGTTTACGTTTCCCAGGGTCAAAGTTGTAGAGGATTTCCCCTAATGTTTGTAATTGTTTGTGCTGCGGCAGCCACATCTCCCGCCTCATGTTAGGCACTGTAATAGGAGGATGAATAGGAATGGGTAGCAAATGAACGGTGTGGTAATATCACTTGAAACGCATTTCATGCTGAAAAGTAAAACAACAGATAATTCATGAAAGTCGCACCCCTGACTGATCTGTACGACATTGGCATATTCTCTGGAAACATTCTATGGAAATATCATTCTGATAGATTGATCTCCGACAAGTGAAAAAATTAAGTTCCCTAGCTAAGTCCATTCCCAAAGTATCATAAAGTTGGTAGAGTGTTACCAAAAACCACTTCATTTCGGCTAGATTTGGCCGAAAACAAGGGACCGAGCACTGAGGACTGTGGGGACTATAGGGACTGACGAGCAAGCGCACTGTGTTTGTCGTGTGTGTGCTTACTGGGGAGACTGTGTCCATGACTGTGAGTGCTCTCTGCTCTAGACGTAATTTCAATGTTTCAACGTAATCTTTGATTTGATTATGCTGTTGAGCTGCCTCCCCAAGAGCCAGAGACCATAGAGCATGTTTGTGAGTGTTTGTCTGTGCTATATCCCCCTGTTTGTGTGTGCGTGTGTGTGTGTCTGGATCACTTCCGGCCAAAGCTATAAACGGATTATAAAGTAATTTAATGCTTTTTGTTGTCTGCACTGGCAAGTGGGGGATTGCTATTACACTGCATATCTATAGACTATATACTATATGTAAGTTTGGGTCCACTTTCAGGGAGGACGCATTTCGACAGTAAAAACTTTTAATGTTTGTTGTTTGTCTCTCAATTTTGTTGAGCACGCATCACGCATACGCCCTGTTGGGCCCGCTTCTTTAATGAGTTGGCGGCTTAAGTGTGGCGGCACTGGCCAGAAAACATTTTGGTCCTAATTAATGTCAACAGTGTCAGATGTTTGGCAATGGCAGTGTGTGTGTGGTGTAGTATCTGTGTCTTCATGTATGGCTGATCATTTTGGCAACATGTTTATCCGGCCGAATGCCTATATATTAATGTCCACACACAAACACACCGACGCGACACGGACACACATTCCGTTGGATTGTCACATTAATTATGTACGTTAAGCTGTCAACGTGGCCAATATTTTCGTATCCTCCATGTCCATGTCCATCGCCCTGTCCTGCTGCCCCGCACACGTGCCACCTCATGCACGTGAGGCTGTGTTTGTGTTTTCCTGCTCAGATTATTCGCCATTTTTCTTGCCTTCATCTGTGAGCGATAAGAGCGTCTTAGCTTATCTTTATGCCTGGGCTTTTGGCCACTACTTGTTTTTGCTTGTCTCATGCTATTTGCCAAACAAATGCGTTCCATAATATAGCACGAATCGTACAAGGTTTGCCTGCCTGGTGTTAAATGGAGTGAAGTGCCAACACACAAGTTAACCAGCAATTAGATACGCAAGGAATGAAATAGAATCGTACTGGAAGAAATTTAAAATTTAAATTAAATTAAATTAAATTAAAGGAAGTTCGCAGCCCTATATTTTCCATTCTCTTTGGGGCGCACAACTCAACATGGTCGAACCTGTCGCTTAGGTTTCATGGGTGCCGGATGAAGCAGACCATAAAAGGTAGCCCCAGGCTCAGCCCATTCAATGTGGATACTGCTACCAATATGCAAAAAAAATACACATCCAATTAAACATTTTTGTTTTTTCTCACATAGCTATCCGTCGCACTTATAATTTAATACTCTTCAAAATTTTCCGACAAGCACTTCGCCACGGCTCAGCACCCCCTCCTCCGCCAATCCACTTTACAGTCAGTCTCAATTACGCACCAATTTCTGTGCACTGTTCACAGCAGTGTGCAGTGTGCAATGTGCGATGTGCGAGTGTTTGTGGGAGTCAGTGTGGTGTCTGTCGAATGCTGTTAGCAATGAAAACTCTGCAACTGTGGCCGAAAATGAAAAGTTCCATTGCATTTGGCAAACTGAAACAAAAAGTAGAAAGGAAATATACAGAACTGTTGCCTAATTGCAAAAATGCTGCCGGCCAACACATAGAACCGAAAAAGTTTTTTTTGGCTAAGGGGTCCCATTGCCCTACCCACACCCACACACACCCCATTAAAGAACCCTCTCCACGATAAAAAGAGACAGAAAACTACGCTAAAAGCTTAAACAAAACCTCAATAAAGCCGTGGGGCAAGAGGGGTAGGAGGGGCCGGAGAGCGTGGAGCCGGTAACTATTGAGGCGGCAAATGGCAAACGGAAAAGTTTCCGGCGCATGCGTAAATGGACCAGAGACACTGCGATAGGGCCGCAGGACCTGCAGCGGATGCCAGGAGAGTGATGCAAGTTGAACGACAACGACAACGGCATGTAAATGACGCTTTTATGTTGCAATCACGTTTCTCCTTGTTCTCTTTTCTCCCGTTCTTGTATAGTTTTTATGGTTTTTTGTTTCATATGCAGTGAAATTTTATGATTATTGCCAAAGCGACAAAAAAGTTTGCCGCAAAACTTTCCCAACACACCGCCTGTTCCGATGGCAGTGGGGGTAAATGGTATGATAGAGTGGGGCAGGGACAGCAGCAGCGGCAGCGGTAGAAGATGGGGACACCACACTCTTCACGTCAGTGAATTGTCATGCTCTGATGCCTTCGTTAGGACCGGCCCCATCCTCCATGAGAGATTCGTGTTGCATTGCACTTTGCTAAGTATATGAGAATGACGACATCGCCACGTCCGGAGTGCATGAAATTTATGCAAATGCACGGAATTTGTATGAAAATTGTTTTATTTCATCCAGTCAAGACTCGCACACACACAAACACGCACATAGACATAGACCCATAAAGCACGCTCGTGTCATTGTATTGTGCTTAAGCAAGAAATTACTCATACCACATGTTGTACGCGCTGTCTCCGCTGTACTTCCCGTCTGCTTTCTCCATCGTTTGTCGTCCCGTCAGTGTCCTGCTGTGTGCTTTATGCAAATTTCACCACTGTGCGCAACAATGTTATTAAAAAATGATAACAAGCCAAGGGAACGGCAGAAAAATGGCTACCAAAGGCATTTATTTAAGGGCGTCTAGACTATTGACTATGGTGTAAAAAATCCTAACAGGGAAATATTATAGCGAAAGGAGTATCTTTATTGAGTTATTTCAGAGAAGATACTAAAATGGTTTTATGGGCACTGCTGAATGATCTTCTTAAGAGCTTTAAACCATAAAAGAGCATGATATTCTTTTCTGTTTACGGCACAGAGATTAAGAGAGATGGCGGTGTGCTCTTGTCTGGGTTAAATACCTGTGCATCGTATACAGGAAATTATACCCATATCGAGCACTTATGTTAGAAAGATTAGTGGAAGAGATCCTATAGTTCCAAAGTAAATAGAAGATAGAGGGGATTTCTTCCTTTCGTACTATCTAGCTATCTGTAGATATCTCTCATTCACGCTAGTGTACCATAGTCCATATACCTTTTGTTGTATTCCATGGATACTAGGAGACAAAGACAACTGTCAGTTAGATGTTTGTTGCGGCCTGCCCCTTGTCAACTTTTTTAGTGTTTGCCTGCTGGCTCTACTCTCCCCTTCCCATCACTAACCGCCACTCCTAGTTTCTGTTTTTGTCATTTGCATGCGTTGAAAAGAGGTAGATGGGGAAGGGAGTCACATCAACTAGGAAATTATGCAGTGAAATATGTTGCCATAGCGAAAGAAAAACAAAAACCCAACGAAACAAAGCACGATACCCAGTTAGGCGTATGTACTCGTATACCATAAATATATATGTATAAATGTATATATTATTATATACAAGAGGAGTATCTGAAAGACAGACAGACAGACAGAAGAAGTGGCTGCCAACATGTTGCCTGGCAGCATCAACAGAACTGCTGTTCCTTCAGAGTTCCTTCAGAGTTGCTCCTTTTTGCCAGTTAGCTGCTGGCAGGCCCCGACCTCAAGTCGGGCCGAAGAACCATGTTAGAGATGTAAAAGGCATGTCAGAAATTCCCAGCTTGCTTCCAGAAGCATTAGTTGTGCATTTTGACTGGCAGGAATGTCAGAAATGGAGCATTTTCGTACGGAAACCATTAACCTTTGGAGATAGACTGCGGTTAGTCGGTTGTGCGCAGAGCTCTCTGATTAATTGCATCCCGAATGGACTCGCATTTATAAGCAAATTTATATCATAGGTGTATGCAAATTCTTGGAATACACAGATTTATATTAGCTTTTATTCACAAATTTCCGCATACTCTCGTGCGTATATTTGTATTTATTTGCGTTCAGGTGTTGTGGGTGTGAGCTGAAGGTACTAGACACCAGTCCATTCTGGTACATTTAAGTACTCTTCACACAATTTGTAATCAGCTTTTCCTGTCCGGAATATCGCCCATAACATACTACTGTCCTATCGCCATTTTGTTAGCATTTTGGCTTGTGGTTTTCTGTCATTTGTGTTTTGCAGCTCTCCGCTTCCGCTCCCGCTCCCGCTACTAATTCGCATATCCTTTTATTTTTTGCTGGCGAAGCGTTTAATTTTTGACATTTTGGGTAACGGGTTGCCAGGATTTGCTGCCATGGCTAATTACAATGTGCAGCAGCAGCAGCAGTAGTGTCGTGTCAAGGATCCTTTGTCTGATTTC